GAAGCCTGCAGTGTCATTCACTTGAAGGAGTTGTGCTTGCTGGGCATAGTGTCATAGGGTAAATTTGCTGCTGCAGCATGTTGTCAACCCCCGGCTGCTGGATGGAGGGATGGTAAAAACTGTGGCTCAACCACAGGGTTTTACTGCCCCTGAACCCCTGAAGTGCTAGTGCGAACAAGCCCTTAGAATTTAGTATAACCAAAATTGCAATATATAAAACAAATGTATGTGTATGTATATATGTGTGTGTGTGTGTGTGTGTGTATATATATATATATGTGTATATATATATATGTATATATATATACAGTATATACATACACAGTGCTCAGCAAAAATGAGTACACCCCAACAGATTTGTCAGAAAACCTTTTACTTCCCTTTCAGAACCAACACTTTCTATGGGACACTATACTACAAAATACTTCCACAAATGTAGGCCATTGATTGCAAACAAGATTTGTTAATTTGCACACACAAAAAAGTATTTTTCCTAACAAATTAATTCAAGACTATTTTGCAAAAATGAATACACCATAATAAAAGTCTTAGGAGCAAAGCTAAAATTGTAGACAACAAAATCCTAATTAAGAATTCAACTACAAGGTGAGTAATTATTAATTAAAACAGGTGTTCAGAGGACAGTTGATTATAAAAGAGCGTTACTTAAAGAAAACCCTTTCCATTTCATGCTGTCAGCAATGGCACCACATGGAAGAGAAATGTTACAAGGCCTGAGAAAAAAAAAATAATTTCTTTACACAAGAAAGGTGAAGGCTACAAGAAGATCAGTAAAGCTTATTAGTCAGAATACTGTAGCAAAAGTGATACAAAGATGGAACTGCAACCATCTCACAGAGACATCCAGGCCATCCACGGAAGTTAACACCTCGACAGGAGCATTTTCTGATGAGAAGAGTTGAAGAAAATCAGCATGCAAGTTTACTACAGTTAGCTAAAGTAGTAAAGAGCCAAACTGGGGTGATTGTTTCCCGTGACAAAATACAGTGTACACTGCAGAGGAATGGCATGCATGGGAGTCATCCACGAAGAAAGCCTCCTCTAAAGCTCATGCACAAAAAAGCCAGCCTAGAATTTGCCAGGGATCATACTGAAAAAGAAGAAGACTGCTGGGACCAATCTCATTATTTTATACTCTGGAGTGATGAGACAAAGGTAAATGTTTATGGAACTGATGGCTTCAAAGAAGGCGTCATAAAGGTGAGGAGAACAAAGAAAAATGCATGGTACCTAAAGTGAAATATGGTGGTGGCAATGTCCTTCTGTGGGGCTGCATGAATGTTCCTGGTGTTGGGGAGCTGCATTTCATTGATGCTATCATGAATTCACAGATGTAAAGCTCTATATTGAAAGAGAAGATGCTGCCATCACTCAGTACCCTTGGTCGTCGTGCACTTTTCCAACATGACAATGATCCAAAACGCACATCTAAGGCCACTGTTGCATTTCGGAAAAAGAACAGGGTGAAAGTGATTCAGTGGCCAAGTATGTCTCCTGCTCTGAACCCAATCAAACACCTATGGGGAATTCTAAAGAGACAAGTTGAGCACCACTCTCTAACCATCATCCAGGCTCTAAAAGAGGTCATTCTTGAAGAATAGAAAAAAGTCCTTACAAATCATGAAGATCATACAAAATACTAGATGTAGTAGTGTTTGTTGTGGGCTGTGTTAATTTTTACATTAACTAATTTGAGTAAAACTGAAGATTTTGTAATCTAAGTTATATTTTTAACCTTACTTTCATGTAATGAGCTTGCTAAACAAATGTTCTATAAATTCAGTTTTGTCATAATTTTGGAAATCGTTCTTGTGTTCATTGAGATATTGATTAAATTCTTACTTTTCAAAAAGGGGGAACTCATTTATGCTGAGCACTGTATATTCCTCTAATAATGTTGTAATAGTGGCAGCCAAATTCTCGACTACGTCCGCCATTTTGCCTTAGTCTATGGATGTTCATCCTAACAGCGATCATATTAGTACAAAAGCTGAATAGACACCTATGGAGGTTGTCATTTTCATGGTTGTCTTTACCTGTTTGTTGTATTCAAATAGCAGTAGCAGTATATAGGAGAATTTACTCAGAGGACATAATATGCATCCCCAGCAAATGGCATTATAATAATAGATGGGTAACACATATATGTCGGACATTACAGTATTAATAAACTATATAACTAAAATAATGTACCCCCAATCTCATTATTTTATACTCTATAATTATTTGGAGTATGTACGTTAAAAACCTCATGGATTGCAAGTATTTGTGTACAAAGCTATATTAATAATATTAATAATTTTGTTAATACAGGTTTGCCTTAAATCTTATTATATTTGGGGTGAAATTAAATGTAAATTAATAAATCCAAAATATAATAAATAAAAATTATATATCAAATAATGTTTTTCTTTTTCTAATATTATATAAATCTGACTCCCCCACTATAAAAATACATTATCAAGGAAATGGTCCCACTGACATTGTTATTAATAAAATCCTGGCTACTGTCAGGGATTCAGTCACCGGGCGACGGGTCCCCTCAGGCCGTGGCGGTGCAAGTGCACAGGCGTGGGAGCGTGCGGGCACGCATGAGCAGTAGCACGGAAACTTGCGCATGCGCAGTAAGTGTACACGTCATGCCAGGCGGGCTTTTTAAACCTACAGAACTGTAAAATCAATGCCTTCTGGTCTACAATGTTCTTGCACATATTACCTAATCCTGTTGCCTGTATTCTGATTTGCCTGACTAAGAAAGAACTCTGCCTGCACTGACCTCGGCTATCCCTGACCATTTGCTTGTCTGCTCCCTTGTACCTTATCTGCCCGCTTGATACTGACCCGGCTTGTCTGACTCTGCTGCATCTGCTTACCTGCACCTGTATCTGGCTCACATCCTGACGGCTGCCATACTGACCTGCCGCTGCACCCACAATTCTGCATCTGACTTGCATCCTGACGTTTGCCATACTTACCTGCCGCTGCACCCATGGTTCTGCACCTGGCCTGCATCCTGGTCTCTGCCATACCTGCCTACTACTGCATCCACGCTCCGGTGTCCAGTCCCAGTCTGCATCCTGATTGCTGCTATACCTGCCTGCTGCTGCACCTACGTTTCTGCATCCGGATCTCCTGGGTCTCCAGCTACCTGCCGCCAGCTCCAGATCCACCCAGCACTCGTGCCACTCCTGGCTCTGCGCCCTCTGTTCCCACTATCGAGCTCCAAGCGGGAGTCGTAAGAGGACGCCTTCTCTCCACATCAGGCTCCCCAACCAGGTACGTGACAGCTACCTATTATAGAATAGACTATGTATAATATTTAAAACTGTAAATACATAATCAAGACAATTTATAATAAAATTCACAACCATATTCCATGATTAATAAAAATACACTGGTACCTGACCTCAACGAGTAATTTTAGGAATCCATCATTTTCTTACCTCATTGTTAATATAATAAAAAGATATCCTAAGCATTGCTAATAAAACAGTTTGTCGATTTCTGCATTATGTCCCCAAGGAATCAAATTCTTAATCTCATGTATCCACTTAGATTCATTTTGGCTTAATACCCTAATTTTATTCGATCCCCTTCAGTCTTTTTTTATATTTTTTCTATACCCCAATATGTAGTACCTTTTAATTCTTTATTATGTACCTCTCAGTAATGTTTGAATAATGGATGTTTCAGGTAGCCCCTTGTAATATTATACATATGTTCTTTAATTCTTTTCGCCATTATCCTTTTCGTACATCCTATATATTGGGTCCCACATGGGCATTGAATACAATATATCACCCCTTCAGTATTGCATATGACGCAGGGCCTTATAGTGTACTCTTTTCCTGTAGTATGTAATTTTAAAGTTTTCCTTCTATTTTCATTTCTCAGTCTGCAACAAAAATAGCATCTACCACATGAATATAATCCTGGTTGGTCCCCTTACTTTTTTTTTGGGGGGGGGGGGGGCTATCACATTCTTGATCACTCTATCTCTAATGAATGGAGCTGTCAGGGCTCCCGGGTATGACCAGAGGGTGTGTGACTGACGCAGGGAAACGCAGACTTCAGATATGTTATAAACAATATAATTTATTAACACTAACAATACAAACATAAACGCAGTGCAATACTAAAACATAACACAGTGCAAACAAACCAAACCAACCACCCACAGATAACAGTAAATACAATGCAAGCGTCGTCAGGCAGGCCGGGTCAATATCAATCGGGCAGGTAGGTACAGAGGGAGCAAGCGGAGAATGGTCGGGGTCACAAGCCAGGTTCAGCAGGTAGCGGGCAGCGTGGTACAGAGGGTCAGGCAGAGGGATGGTCAGGAACGAGCCGGGGTCAGAGCAGGAGAAGTCAGCAGAGGTCCAGATCAGGCAGGGTCAGCAACAAGACAGGAACAGGATGCAGGAACAGGATACAGGGCCCAGGAAAAACACCAAGGCAGAGTCTGCAGGTCTGGCCATCCCTTAAATACACAAGTATAAGCAGTTTCAGGTGTTTGGCTGGCTGCAAGATTGAGTCTCTGATTGCTGGGAGCACCCGCTGGCCAGCCCTGGTACTGCAGCCCATAAGGCAGGTGAGTCCCACCATTGCTGGCCAGTCCATTCCTGACACAGTTTCAGGTGTTTGGCTGGCTGCAAGGTTGAGTCTCTGATTGCTGGGAGCACCCGCTGGCCAGCCCTGGTACTGCAGCCCATAAGGCAGGTGAGTCCTACCATTGCTGGCCAGTCCATTCCTGACAGTACCCCCCCCTCAAGGAGCGGCCTCAGGACGCTCCAAACAGTCCTAGCTGGGCAAAATGTTCCACCGCCCGGGTCTGGTAACTGGCGGGATATCAAAGACTGGCACACCGGGCAGGACTCCGGGCAGAGGCACATCGGGCAGCGGCACACCGGGCAGGACTCCGGGCAGAGGCACATCGGGCTGGACTCCGGGCAGAGGCACATCGGATCACCAGGCGAAGCAGCAGGCAGTGGGCCCCCAGGCGGAGCAGCAGGCAGCGGGCCCCCAGGCGGAGCGGCGGGCGCCGGGCCCCCAGGCGGGGCGACGGGCGCCCAGGCGGGGCGATGGGCGCAGGGCCCCCAGGCGGGGCGACGGGCATCGGGCCCCCAGGCGGGGCGACAGGCATTGGGCCCCCAGGCGGAGCGGTGGGCGCCGGACCCCAGGCGGAGCAACAGGTCTCGGGCCCCCAGGCGGACGGCCACCAGGCCCCAGGAGGAGCGACAGGTCTCGGGCCCCCAGGCGGAGCGGCGGGCGCCGGACCCCCAGGTGGAGCGACAGGCACCGAGTCACCAGGCACGACAGTGGGCTCCGAGTCAACTGGCATGACCGCTGGCACTGGGTCAGACAATGGATCGTCTGGCTGGACAGCGGGCATCGGGTCACCAGGCATCAGGTCATTTGGCTCAACAGCGGGCACCGCGTCATCTGGCAAGGCAGTGGGCTTCGAGTCAACTGGCATGACCGCGGGCACTGAGTCAGACATTGGATCGTCTGGCTGGACAGCGGGCATCGGGTCAACAGGCATCAGGTCATTTGGCTCGACAGCGGGCTCCACGTCATCTGGCAAGGCAGTGGGCTCCGAGTCAACTGGCATGACCGCGGGCACTGGGTCAGACATTGGATCGTCTGGCTGGACAGCGGGCATCGGGTCACCAGGCATCAGGTCATTTGGCTCGACAGCGGGCACCGCGTCATCTGGCAAGGCAGTGGGCTCTGAGTCAACTGGCATGACCGCGGGCACTGGGTCAGACATCGGATCGTCTGGCTGGACAGCGGGCATCGGGTCACCAGGCATCAGGTCATTTGGCTCGACAGCGGGCACCGTGTCATCTGGCAAGGCAGTGGGCACCAAGTCACCAGGCACGACAGTGGGCTCTGAGTCAATTGGCATGACAGCGGGCACCGGGTCATCAGGTACCGGATTGTCTGGCTCGACAGCGGGCATCGGGTCACCAGGTATGACAGCGGGCAGTGGGTCACCAGGCATCAGGTCATTTGGCTCGCCAGCGGGCACCGTGTCATCTGGCAAGGCAGTGGGCACCGAGTCACCAGGCACGACAGCGGGCTCTGAGTCAATTGGCACGACAGCGGGCACCGGATCAGGTACCGGATCGTCTGGATCAACAGCGGGCATCGAGTCAACTGGCCTAATAGGATCATCAGGCTGGATCAGTTCATCATGCTGGGTAGAGGCATCAGGCTGAGTGGAGGCATCAGGCTGAGTAGAGGCATCAGGCTGAGTAGAGGCATCAGGCTGAGTAGAGGCATCAGGCTGAGTAGAGGCATCAGGCTGAGTAGAGGCATCAGGCTGAGTAGAGGCATCAGGCTGAATAGAGGCATCAGGCTGGGTACAGGCATCAGGCTGAATAGAGGCATCAGGCTGGGTATGGGCTCAGGCTGGGTACGGGCATCAGGCTGAAGTGCAGGGTGCCGAGGCACCAGGCTGAACCACGGAAGGCAGGTTCTCAGACGGCAGGCTCACCGGTTTGGATACTGGCAGGATGGTACTGGTTGGAAAGAATTTTCGCTTTTTTCTGGTTTTAACTACTGGAGCACTGCAAGTAAACGCAGGTCTGTAAACGAATGGAGCAGCTGGAGACAGAGAAGAGCTGGAGGATGGAACAGGGGAGGGAACAGTTGCTACAGAGGGCTTTTTTACAGGGTTAAAGGCAGGATAGGTGCAGCGAGGGGGAACAGGGTACTGACATGCGGTAGATAGCAGGGCAGGAGGAGCTGTTGGGAATGCAGGAATAGAGCTTTGAGGAAATAGATTAGAAGCAGGACTGGGTTTTTGCAAGCTGACTGAGGCTGGGTGCAACAAATCTGTCCATGTCTGCAGTATGGGTTGAACAAAGCTCAGCTTACACAAAGCCTGTCTGACCAAAGACTGCACTGCGTTTATACAATCTCTTAGTATCTGTGGTGAACATGCAGAATAACGCTCCAGAAAGTAATCCACATCATCCTCTAATAACCATACCAGGGACTCTACCTGGTCGGCACTAAATGGCGGCAAAAATTCATCCCTGCATTTGGGGGTACCAGATGAAACCAACTCCGCACAAACCTGAATCAATGGCTGCACCTCAGAGAATTCTGTGCCCTGATCTAGAACATGAGCGAGCCGTATACATTCTAGCAGTTCATCCCGGGATACTCCTTCAGAGTCTGATAAGCATATTCTCTGTCATCAAACACTAGCAGATATAAATACACAACCTCATCAAGATCCATCCTTCCCATCAACAAACCAAGATGGCTTCCCTGTGCAGCCACTTCTGGTCAGGATTGGCCTTGGTGTAATGTCAGGGCTCCCGGGTATGACCAGAGGTGTGTGACTGACGCAGGGAAACGCAGACTTCAGATATGTTATAAACAATATAATTTATTAACACTAACAATACAAACATAAACGCAGTGCAATACTAAAACATAACACAGTGCAAACAAACCAAACCAACCACCCACAGATAACAGTACATACAATGCAAGCGTCGTCAGGCAGGCCGGGTCAATATCAATCGGGCAGGTAGGTACAGGGGGAGCAAGCGGAGAATGGTCGGGGTCACAAGCCAGGTTCAGCGGGCAGCGTGGTACAGAGGGTCAGGCAGAGGGATGGTCAGGAACGAGCCAGGGTCAGAGCAGGAGAAGTCAGCAGAGGTCCAGATCAGGCAGGGTCAGCAACGGAGCAGGATACAGGGCCCAGGAAAAACACACACCAAGGCAGAGTCTGCAGGTCTGGCCATCCCTTAAATACACCAGTATAAGCAGTTTCAGGTGTTTGGCTGGCTGCAAGGTTGAGTCTCTGATTGCTGGGAGCACCCGCTGGCCAGCCCTGGTACTGCAGCCCATAAGGCAGGTGAGTCCCACCATTGCTGGCCAGTCCATTCCTGACACAGTTTCAGGTGTTTGGCTGGCTGCAAGGTTGAGTCTCTGATTGCTGGGAGCACCCGCTGGCCAGCCCTGGTACTGCAGCCCATAAGGCAGGTGAGTCCCACCATTGCTAGCCAGTCCATTCCTGACAGGAGCTGTCTTATACACAAATCTGCAATTAGTTGGAAGTATAGTGCTTGAAAACCAAGCATTTTCTGGGATGTTTTGTATATACTGTGTGTGTGTGTATATATATATATATATATATATATGTATGTATATTAGCAAACACCCTAGTAAATGACATGGCAGTCGTTGAAATTTTTTATGTTACATGGTATTTGTGCAGCGGTTTTTCAAACGCAGTTTTTTTTTGGAAAAAATACACTTTAGAGAATTAAAAAAAAAAAAAAACCTCAAGATATACCCCAATTTTTTTTTAATAAAATATGAAAGAGGATGTTACAGTGAGTAAATAGATACCAAACTTGTTGCACTTTAAAATTGCACATGCTTGTGGAATGGCGACAAACTACAGTGCTTAATTTCCAAGAGCCACTAGGACCACGTTCATGTGAAATCCGGCCGATCCCTGAACAAAACGGTTCCAGGGTTTTGGCTGATTTCTTCAGCCGTGACTGCGGTAAACCACTTGCAAACCTCACGTTTATATACGTATTGCGGTCTTCAAGTTTTTAATAAAATTGACTAATGTTTTTTGATAACATGCTCTACTTTTTTATAATGTTTATTATGATATACAATTATAAGAGAAAGCACAATGGGGCACCTCTAAGTGCAGCATTAGAAACACTTTATTAAAAATCATCAGTAATGCAATCACATTTAAAAATGAACACTACGCCTCAAAGTCTGATCCGCAAGTCCACCGGTGGTGGTGTGGGGGCTATCTACAATGAGGAGACTTGGATGCAGCCTGGAAGTCTCCATAGCCTGATTTTGACCTGGTGGGTTATGTTAAAGTAAGGTGTGGCCATGGTGTATGTGTAGAGAAGCTGATTCCTTGTGAGTGTCCACAGATCAGGTATGGGAAAGGTATCATATCTGGATTGTGAGTATCAATCGGGAACGTCCCATGGCCACGCCCATAATAGTCTATATACTGATATATCAGAAAACAGCCCCCTCTGCCAATCAGGTTTGAGAAAGCTGATTGGTGCTCCGAAATGCGTCACCTTGGCAACTCAGGTCTTGGATCCTCCTCATAATAAATATAAATATTTATTTAAATAAATCTGGTGGTGATTTAATTTAATATTTGTCTATAAAATTAATGATTTAAATCAATAATTATAAACAGGTAGTGATGTATGTGTGCATGAAATATAGATGTGGGAATAAAAAATATATAAAAATGAAAAAATAAAATATAAAAATAAGAAATATATAAATATGTCCAAAAATTGATATGTCTGTTCACATCGCTGTTTATGTCTCCACTTGAAATGTGACACTCGTGCTCACCTTCCCGTAAGCCTAGTCCTAGGCAAACCAAGTGTTAAATCCAAAAAGTTTTCTTTAAAATCCTTCTGAGCTTACCTCTAATCTCCTAAAGTGATCTTTGTTTCAGTGCTGGTGTGGGTATGCGGATCTCTCCCTCCCCTCACTGCAGGATTCCACTCCGTCCCTCTGCTTTTCTCCTCATTGTGACAGTAGGAAAGAAAAGAGAATATAGTGCCTTATCGTTGTAAAAAGGTTTATTTAGTGCTCTTGTATATATGCACTCACATTGTAAAACATATTAATGCGCCTTTTAAAAAACCCTTTGCAGCAAGCTTCCTCTGTGTGTGTAGCAGATATACTCGCCATTCTGAAGTTCAGGAGTACATGATAACGTCAGAGCCCTTCCCCTACGCATGATGCCACAGGGCCTCGTGGCTGATGAAGCCACGAGGCATTTCTTTATATTAATTATCTTTTATCAATGCACATACTAATGAGAATGTGATTAAGTGCCAGTGAACTTAATTTGTGGCTCACAAGTAAATTACATTTCCATTTGGATCCTCTACCTGATGTCACATCTGTTCGTGTGTTCCACAGTGGTTCCAGCATCACTTCCGATCCCGCGCCTGTCAGGACTTTCCACAGCGGTGGTTACCGTGGTCTGCTACCACCTGCACCCTGTCTCTATCTCCCACACCACCTCCTCGGTGGACTTGCGGATCTGACTTTGAGGCCTGTATCATTTCACAAGCATACTCTTCATCTATAAATGTGAGCGCATTACTGATGATTTTTAATAAAGTGTTTCTAATGCTGCACTTAGAGGCACCCCCTTGCGCTTTCTCTTGTTAATACAGAAGAGATCCATTCCAGTCCTTTTAATGGAGCTGCCTACATGGTGAATAATCTATTTACGGACTATTTTAATAGTTTGGACTTTGTGGACTTATGTAATTGTTATTAATTTGGCTCCTATGTCCCATGTGGACAAGGGTTGCGCCATAAAATTTTATTGTTTAATATACGGTTATAGCCAATGTATAATCCTTTTTTTTTCTCTTCTGTATATCCTGTATTAATTGATGTCTGTCCATCTGCTCAATTTCCATAGTCTGATTCTGAATTTGTTGTTTATTTTACCCTGTGGCTATAAACTTATCTATTTGAGTGCCTGTTCAGTATAATCTCTCACATGAGCACAGTTCCTTCTTATCCTTAATTTCTGCCTTTTAGGTATATTATCCAACCAAGTAATGACAACTGTCCCTTGGTACGTATGCATAACTCTGTTTTTAAAATTTGTTTTAGTTGTAATACCCTCAATAATATTGTTAATTACTATACTGTATCTAGGAAAGTGATAGTCTGACGATTCATTTCCCATGTTCAGCCAATGTTTTTCTGATTATTATTTAATTTCTGCATAAGTTCTTTAGGACCCCTTTCCATATTACCATAATATTGTCTACAAATCTCCAGTAAAAGATCAATTGTTCAGGTTTATTGTTAAAAATCACTTCACTCTCCCATCAAGCCATAAAGAGATTGACTACACTGGACGCAAAATGTGCTCCCATGTTTATACCCCTTATCTGCTTAACCACTAGGGGACCGCCCACAGTACATATACTGTGGCAAAACAGCCCTTGTGCGCAGGATCACGTTTATAAACGTCATCCTGTTTACGGGATAGGGGGTGCGCGTGAGGAGCACTTGATCGCCCTACCCGCGGCACCAATCGCGGGGTGTCAATCCGGCAGAGCACGGCGATTGGCTGCAAACACTGACAGGGAGCACAGCTGCTTTGTTTTCAATGCAGCTCTCCTCCCTGTCAGTTTTCAACACACTGAGTTCAGCTTTCCAGAATAGTGTGTTCCTGTGAAGTACACACCCCTCGCCCCCTAGTAAAACACTCCCCTCACACAGTTAACCCTTTTATTGCCTTTTAATGTTAACCCCTTCATCCCCAGTGCCATTAATAGTGTCAGTGCTTTTTTTTTT